ACATCTGCTGGAAACTCTGAAAGCTCATCGTGGTGGGGCCTCCAACCCTGTACTGGTTGATACCTGCCCAATCCTTCACATAGCCAACAACCAACAAAGAAAGCATACCACCTATAGAAATCTCCCCAGATCCCAAGGTTACATTGTATAGGTGGTCTAAAAACCATGCCCCAGAGTTAATCATGTCGTCTGCCTCAGTGGGGTCGGGGTGGCAAAGCAAATGCCATAAAAAATAGAGTTCCTTGGCCGAGCAAACCCCTCCTGTGTTACATCTAGCAAAAAGGATCCAGGAAAAGAGTCGGCATATAAGTCTCATGGCCAGGTGAACTATACATGAGGTCTTAGAATGGCTAGGGTCGTAGTCATCTAGCCCAGTCAAATCCCTCCACATGTTAAGGTCACTGTAGCCAGTCAACCTACTGTAATTTGGTCTACCTATTTGGCCGAAGGTAGGGAAGCCTAACAGGACATTAACCTCCCTCACCGTAAGGGTGTGACGTTCACCAAACAAGTTGAAAGAAACGTCCCTAGGAGTGTGGCCGTCCGATCTACGTCGGACTTCTAAGGTAGAAAGGAACTCGTAGGTGATATTGGAGTAGGTGTTGGCATGTTTTGCTAAGAAACCATCCCAACCTAGTCGGCTAAGAATGCGTTGAACCTCACCTCCCATACCCAAGCTTTCCATAGCCTCTTGGTCAAAAAACCGTGTAGGCACTAAGGGTCGTGATCTAATGCGAAGAAAATTGTTTAAGTGTTCTTCATTACCCTTAAAATCGATCCCAAAAGTCTCGATGGGTGGAATATGGGCAAGTGGTGTGGGAGAAGGTTGTGGAACGGGTGGGGTTCTAAGGCCTTTGGAAGAGGTGTTCCTAGGCCTATTTCTTCTTTGGTGAGATTAGGATGCCATGAGTTCAATTAACAACCAATGTATAACAATTCAAGCACACAAACAAGCAATCAATCAACCACAAATTCACAAAGGTCCACAATAATTCAACAATACTCCAACAATGCTTCAAGATTAATAGTGGTTTTTCAATCACACTACACCAAAATATAATCACAAATATCCAAACAAATTGAACAAACCAAACACGATTAACAATCTCCAACAATTTTTTTGAACAATTTATAGCAAATTATTCATGAAAACCTAGAGAGAGAAAGTGAGAGAAGAGGTTACCCAAGGTATGGTGGATTTTAAATACCACAAATGATCCACAATTGACGTATATAGCACCCTTGAATCCCTTCCTTTCCTTCCAATTTCTCCAAAGAACTTTAAATCAAAAGGCCCCAAATTGATTTTTGAATCTAGGGTTCTTGAAAAATTGGGTAAAATTGTGTTTGGGATGATTTTTGTTGATAATGGAGTGTGAGAATTAAGTAGAAGGATGAGAATGTTGAAGATTATGTAAAGAATTGTGAGTTTGGGTGATAGATTGAAGAGGGGAAGGCCGAAAATCTTGAGTGGAAGGAGAGGAGAGAGAAACTCTTGAGTTTGAAAGTGGGGGGATTGTGAATGAAAGAGTAGGGAGCCCGTGACTCTATTTCGGGGGGGGGGGGCACGGACGTGCCTTCTGGGAGGCACCGACGTACCTCTTCAGAAATCGAGTTTCAAAAACAATCTGCCTCAGGGGCACGGACGTGCCTCTGAGCAGGCACGGACGTGTCTCTTATACAGTTTTTTTTTTTTTTTTGAAAATAAATAAAGTAAAAAAAAAAATTAAATACGGAAAACCGAGGCACGGACGTGCCTAGTGTTGAGGCACGTACGTGCCTCTCTAAACTTTCATCCCTCCAAACTTTCTGCCTCAGAGGCACGGACGTGCCTCTGCAGAAATTGGTTTTTCTCCTTTTTCCTTCCTTTTGGCGCTTTTCCTCCTTGTTTCTTCTTCTTTTTGCTCACTTTTCACCTAAATAAAAATCACAAACAACTCAAAAACCAAAGCACAAGGGCCAAACCAAAGAAATCAAAACAAAGAAAAAGAAAATAATAAAGAAAAGTAACAAACTAAGAGTAAAAACTAGAGAATGGGTTGCCTCCCATTTAGCGCTTGTTTATGAGGTCTTTAGCTCGACCGTATGGCTTCTCATCGGCTTGGTGATGGGGACGAGAGTGTGATATCCACCCCCTCACCGATGGGATCACCGACTCGGTAGTGCTTCACTCGTTGTCCATTGACTTTGAAGGGTTCCCCTCTTGTGTTTTCTAACTCAATCGTGCCATAGGGGAAGACTTTTCTAATCCTGAATGGTCCCGACCATCTAGACCGAATCTTTCCAGGGAATAATTTCAACCTAGAGTTGAAAAGAAGGACTTGATCCCCTTCTTTGAACTCCCTTCTCACAAGATTCTTGTCATGCCACCTTTTTGTCTTCTCTTTGTACAGCTTCAAACTCTCATAAGCATCAAGGCGAAGCTCATCCAATTCGTTGAGTTGCAACAACCTATTCTCTCCCGCTGCTTTGGCATCAAAGTTCAAGCTTTTTATGGCCCAGAATGCCATGTGTTCTAGCTCAACGGGGAGATGACAAGCTTTACCATACACAAGCCTGTATGGGGTCGTACCAATTGGTGTTTTGAAGGCCGTTCGGTACGCCCATAGTGCATCATCTAGCTTCACAGACCAGTCCTTTCTTGTTCGCGCAACAGTTTTCTCTATGATGGACTTGATCTCTCGGTTGGACACTTCTACCTGGCCACTTGTCTGTGGGTGATAGCCAATTCCAAGCTTGTGGTGCACTCCATATTTTTTCAACATCGCCTCAAATCGATGCTCCAGAAAGTGTGTTCCCCTGTCACTGATCAAAACACGTGGTAAACCAAAACGAGGGAAAATAACTTTCTTGAAAAACTTGCTTACCACACGAGCATCATTGGTTGGAGTAGCTATTGCTTCCACCCACTTTGAAACATAATCAACAGCTAGCAATATGTAACGGTTTCCATGAGAGGAGGGAAACGGACCCATGAAATATATCCCCCACACATCAAACAACTCGACCTCGAGTATGTTATTAAGTGGCATCTCGTTCTTGGAAATCGTGCCTATCCGTTGACATCTATCACATGCCTTGACATAAGCATAGGTATCTTTGAACATCGTAGGCCAGTAAAATCCACATTGCAAAACCTTTGCAACTGTTTTCGAAGGGCCTACATGTCCACCACAAGGTAGGTCATGGCAATGTGAAATAATATTACTTATCTCGGTTTCTGGAACGCATCTACGGATCATGGTGTCTGCGCATTCCTTGTAGAGGAAGGGATCGTCCCAGTGGTATCTCCTTGCTTCAGAAAAGAATTTCTTCTTTTGTTGAGAAGAATAGCCATGAGGCATTGTACCTGTGGAGAGAAAATTAGCTAAGTCAGCAAACCAAGGGGATTCAGTCTGTAATAAAGCTAATAAATGTTCAGCAGGAAAAGAATCATCAAAAGGGATATCATCTCCATCTTCAGGGTCAAGGAGAAGACGGGAAAGATGGTCTGCAACGACATTCTCTGTTCCTTTGGTATCCCTGATTTCGATGTCGTAATTCTGTAGCTGGAGAATCCATCGAATCAACCTTGGTTTGGCATGTGTCTTGGTCATCAAGTACCTCAATGCTGCATGATCTGTATGAATGATGACCTTGGAACCTACCAAATAAGAATGAAACTTGTCAATAGCATATATAACTGCTAACATCTCTTTTTCAGTTGTGGCATAATTCATTTGAGCAGAGCTTAAAGTCTTCCTAGCATAGTATATGGCATAAAGCTTCTTCTCCTTCCTTTGCCCCAATACGGCTCCCACCGCTTAATCACTAGCATCGCACATGATCTCAAACGGCAGACTCCAATCTGGGGGTTGCATGACTGGAGCAGTGATTAAAGCTTCCTTCAACATGTTAAAAGCTTCAAGACAAGCATCAGAAAAGACAAAAGGGACATCCTTGGCCAATAGCTCAGTTAAAGGTCTAGCAATTTTCGAAAAATCCTTAATGAAACGCCGATAAAAACCTGCGTGACCAAGGAAGCTTCGAACTCCTTTTATAGAGTTAGGGGGTGGTAAGCGCTCTATAACCTCTATTTTGGCCTTATCAACCTCAATAACTTTATTAGACACAACATGACCTAAAACAACTCCCTGTTGAACCATAAAATGGCATTTCTCCCAGTTTAAGATTAGATTAACTTCTTTACATCTTTGGAGCACCTTTTTCAGATTTTCAAGACATACATCAAAGGTTGTTCCATAGACAGAGAAATCATTCATAAATACTTCCATAGAGTTTTCTATGAGTCCTGAGAAAATTGCCATCGTACATCGCTGAAAAGTGGCAGGAGCATTACATAATCCAAACGGCATCCTGCGATATGCAAAGGTGCCATATGGACATGTGAAAGTAGTCTTTTCCTGGTCACAAGGACGGATGGAAATTTGAAAGAAACCTGAATATCCATCCAAGTAATAGAAAAAGGAATGCTTTGCCAACCTTTCAAGCATCTGGTCGATAAAGGGTAAGGGGAAGTGATCCTTCAAGGTGGCCTTATTCAACTTCCTATAATCTATACACAGTCGCCATCCTGTGACAGTTCTAGTGGCGACTGGCTCACCCTTGTCATTCTTAACAACGGTCATACCTCCCTTCTTTGGTACTACTTGTACAGGGCTAACCCACTTACTATCAGAGATAGGGTTGATTATACCTGCAACAAGCAATTTCAGAACCTCTTTTTTAACTACCTCCATCATATTAGGATTAAGTCTTCGTTGAGGTTCTACAGAAGAGGCATGATCGTTTTCAAGAATGATCTTATGCATACAAAAAGAAGGATTAATGCCCTTGATATCATCAATGGTGTACCCAATGACACTTTTATATGTTTTCAAAACGTTGAGCAATTGCTCCAATTCTGTGTCCTTGAGTTCAGCATTGACAATAACGGGATAAGAATTATTTGGACTAAGATATGCATATTTTAAGTTAGAGGGGAAGGGTTTCAACTCTACCTAGGGAGGCTTAGAACTCTCCCCAATACTCATTGCTTCCAATGTCTCTCTAATCGGGTTCTGATTTGGATTGGCCTTTGCTTCATTAAGTAACCTGGTATACTCCTTAGACTGCCAATCTCCATTATCATCTTCCTTCCCTAATAGCACTTGTTCAAGAGCATCATCATTCTGATTCAAGGGAAGTTTCTCGTTCTGCAGCTCATCGAGCACATCAACCTGAAAAACAGTGTCTCCCATAGAAGGGGCACCCATAACATTCAAAAGTGAGTATTCCAATTTCTCATCACCTACTTCAAAAGTAATCTTACCTTTCTTCATATCAATAATTGCACCTGCAGTAGCTAAGAAAGGTCTACCAAGTATAATTGGAACATTCACATCTTCATCCATCTCCATCACAACAAAATCACAGGGAATGAAAAACTTACCTACTCGGAGGGGTACATCCTCAAGTACACCCAAAGGAAACCTCACTGACCTGTCTGCAAGTTGCAGGGATATGCGTGTGGGTTTGAGTTCACCCATTTGCAGCTTCTTGCATATGGATAGTGGCATGAGGCTCACACTTGCACCAAGATCGCACAATGCTCTGTTGATTTCGATATCCCCAAGCTTCACTGGAATCGAATAGCTACCTGGATCTCCTAATTTCTTAGGGAGAGTGTTCTGCAAGATAGCACTGCACTCTGCATTCAAAGCAACTGTAGTATTCTCTTCTAACTTTTTCTTGTTAGATAGAATATCTTTTAAGAATTTTACATAAGAAGGCATCTCAAATATGGCATCTAAAAATGGAATATTAATATGAAGCTTTTTAAGAATATCAAGAAACTTACTGAACTTTTTCTCAAGTTTAGCTTGGGCTAACCTTTGAGGAAAAGGAACCTTAGGCACATACGGAGCAAGTGGCTTTGGTGGTGCTCCCTTTGATTCATCCTGGACCCTAGAGTTGTCAACTTCCTTCTCACTTGCACCTACTTCTTCAATGACCTCCCTTGATGGCTCCTTGGTAAGAGGATCTTCCAACTGCTTTCCACTCCTCAGGGTGACGACATTCATTTAGCCTTTTTGAGATTGTTCAGTCTGGCCTGGGAAGGTTCCTGGAGTCTTTAGGGCTTGGCTAAATTGGTTGGCCAATTGGCTTATCTGATTCTCCATAAGTTTACCCTGAGCCTGCAACTGTTGGATAGAGCTATTTTGATGTTGGATGGCACTGTTTGTTGCGGTTATAAAGCTCTCTAATGTCACCTCTAGGCTTGATTTCCGAGGTTTTTGTTGCATTGGTTGGTGGGCATTGGTTGTTTTCTATTGGAAACCAGGTGGTGGTTGGTTGTAGGTGTTGGATGGAGGTGGTGGTGGAGGGTTTTGTTGTGCTTGGGAATTTTTGTATGAGAAGTTAGGATGGTGTTTCCATCCTTCATTATAGGTGTTGGAATAAGGGTCATCAGGTCTCTTTGGGTTAGAGGAGTAGAAAGCATTGGCTTGCTCGATTGACATCTCTTCTGTATTCTGCGAAATCTGTGGGCAATCTGGAGCAACATGACCCTGCACATGACATAACTGACACAACTCCTGTGGGGTGTTAGAAGTTCCTGCTTGGAACTTATAAAACCTGCTTGTTAGTGCTTGAACAGAACTAGTTAGCATAGTTAAAGCATCAACATCAAGTTTACCTCCCTTTTTCACAGTGTTTCGGCCTCCAAGATGATAGTTATCATTAGCCGCCATCTTCTCTATGAGCTCCCTAGCTTCGGTGGGGTTCTTTGTCAAGAGAGAACCTCCTGACGCAGCATCTATGTAAATACGGAACTCATGAGTCATGCCATTGTAAAAGGTTTGCATCAAAATCCAATCTGGAATGCCATGGTGAGGGCATTGTCTCTGCAATCTTTTAAATATCCTCCAAGCCTCATAGAGAGACTCATCATCTGACTGCTTAAAAGTTTGTAGCTCATTCCACAATCTTGCAGTCTTCTCATTCCCTAAAAACTTCACTAGGAAGGCTTTCACTAACTTGTCCCATGTATCGAACGAGCCAGTACCTTCATCTCTTAACCACTCCTTTGCCCTGTCTCGAAGTGAGAAGGGGAAAAGGCGTAGTCTGATTGCATCATCTGTAACACCATTCAACTTCATAGTGTCACATTTCTCCAAAAAACTATCTATATGGCTTACGGGGAAATCGTGTGGTAGCCCTGCAAATGAATCATTGGAGATGAACTGTATGAATTGTGGCTTGAGCTCGAAATGCTGAGCCGTGACTGGTGGTCTTATGATGCTTGAAAGGACTCTGGTAGTCGTATCAGGAATACCGTACTCCAAAAGGGATTTCGTTGGTTGGTTTACCATGTTTCTATTGGTTTGATTTCTCCTTCTTCTTCTACCTGCTCGTCTTCTTGCGGTGGCTACGATTTCAGAATCAAAAGGTGCTAGATCTTTTGAACCTAAGCTTCGTGTGGGCATGCAACAAGAAAACTAGAGAAAGATTATCAAAAACACAAGAGAAAATAGCCGAAGCAACGAAATAAGCCTAGCAAAAATGAATCACAATTAATCTAATGAAACCGTTAGTCCCCGGCAACGGCGCCAAAATTTGGTAGGCGTGTCGCGTACATATCAAAAATAACCTAACAGACCAATACTAATGTAGACTGGCAAGTAAGGGTCGGATCCCAAGAGACTAAGGTTCAAAAATAATTAAATAGACTCGAATTTCTACTAAGCAAGAATCAATTATAATCGATAACTAAGGGTCTAAAATATAGGAAAAATTCGAAAATAAACTAATTAAGATGATTAAATCGAGCAATTAAAAACATCCAAGATCTAGTTTCACCACAACTATTATTAATGCAATTGTAATTCTACCCTTAACATACGAATTCAATTGAACGGGGAAAAGTAAACCCTAATAATTACCAAGGATCTCTCTCGAGTATCAATGGCTTCCCTAACATACAATCAATCCTATTCTCATGGTATCATGCATATTAAAGACATTAAACACATTGCTCTCACTTCCCAATTATCAAACCCAACTACTCTCGTGTTATGAATCAAACTCTAAATTGATTTACTCAAATCCGTTTATACCCAACTCTCGCTGTGATAAAAACAATGGAATAATCGCAATACTATAGTTACGTCTAACCTAGCATTGGCATAATCACAATCAATTTAGCAATTCAATTGTTAAAGTTATTAAAGAATTTAAAGATTTAAATCATGCATCAATAATAATGGGGCTACACTAGATCTTGAATTAAGGAATCTACTCACACATGATTAAAGAAACAAAAACAATAATAAATAATGAAAACATAATTAAATGACAAAGGATGAAAAATAAATACCAAATCTTGAATAAAATTGAAGGTAGAAACCTTGAATCTTGAATCTTGAATTACAAAACTTAGAAAAAAATAGATGGAGAACTAGTTCTTAATGAGAGAATAAAAATAATATAAGGCTTAATGAATAATCCAGAAAAACAAGGCTAAAAAGTATTTATATGAGCCTAAAAAGATAAGAAAAACGGCTAAGCCTTGGCGCACAAGAATCCCAAGAGGCACGGACGTGCCTCTCCATAGGCACGGACGTGCCTCTATACGTAGCAAAATTGCTGCAGTTTCTGTCTTCCAGGCACGGACGTGCGTGATGCTGGGCACGAACGTGCCTGCTTCTTTACCTAGGCACGGACGTGCCTCTTCTGCTAGGCACAGACGTGCCTAGGGTCTTCCTTTGGCGCAGCTTCTGGCACAGAGGCACGGCCGTGCCTACCTCTAAAATGCCATTTTCTTGACTTTTCTTCAATCTCCAAACTCCATGGGCTTTGACTTACTTCGTGGATCTATAATTCATCCAAATTAGCTCCATTATTCCTGAAAATCATCAAAAACAACAAAACTACCCATAAAAGCATCGGATTATCCAAACTAGAGCAAAATACGCCAAAACAGACTCAAATACTCAACTAAACTAACAAAACTAACTAAAAACCAACCAAATAATATACACAAAACACGAATTATCAGAACTTTAGCATGGACCTAGCCATCTGAACCAGATTCGGCTTTTGAAGGACATCTGCACAATCAATACCCTGTAAGTACTTAGTGTAAATTTGGCCAATAGATCGACTGCTCTCAAAGGTTCTAGACTACTGCTGATTGAATTTGATCCTCAAAGGGTAAGGGAAAGGACAAAAGTCTTTGATACCTTCAACAACCGCATCCTTCTCCTTCTCCTTCCCATGCTGACTGCCAGCAGAGATGGTTGGAGATTTTGGAGGTGGGATGCTTCCTGGCCTAGAGGCCACATGTTTCCTGGCTCTCCTAGGGGTCGTTATGTCACCAGCCGTCTGTTTCCTAACTTTAGGATCCGTCTGGGAGGAGGAGGAAGGCTTTGCTAAGTTGCCCTGCAAAATAACTACAATAAGTAAGAAGCAGGCGGCATAATTCTAAATGAAATCTATTCAATTGAAAGTTCACCTTTGACGCCTGCACAACAGGTGATTCTTCAATTGGCCGCTTGCCAAGGATGGCTGAGCGGTACTAAGTAACAGCTTTCTTTGAGGCCGAGAGCTTTTCCATGGCTTTGTCTACAAAAGATGAATCAAGGAGTTAGTTTGACACAAAATAAATCAATTTCCACAAGACACTTGAACAGGCGGCCAGCTACCTCTCGACATCTCTTCACTAAGGCCACAGGCGGCCAAATATGTCCCATCGTATAACCAGTTATACTTGGGAATATAGTTTTGAGGAATGAATTCCCTTGCCCCTGTCTCGGGGCTTGCCTGGATGTCCACTTTGAAGAGCCCTCTGTCAAGGATCTCCTCTTTGGCTTTATGGGGAATTGGCGGCAGCTCAAAGCCGTCTGTTAGGAAAGGTGGGTTCCTGTTCCACATGTTAAATTTTTTGTTCCTGGTTGTGTCAGGGCTGGAGACGATGTAGAAAGTGTTCCTCCAATCTTTCCACTTGTTCTCCTTCCCCACAGTCATCATATAGCCCTTGTGGCTAGTCAGCTGATACTAGCCGGTCCCACTTGTCTTCGAGGTCCAGCTGAGGTAGTGCATATGAGCGAATGGCTCAAAGTTTGGCTCTACCTCATGCATTTCACAGCCGGCAACATAGCCCAAGATGTTGAACCAAGAGTTTGGGGCTAGTTGCTAGAGACCTAGCTGGTATTCGTCCAAAATATTCTCTACAGCCGGATGTAGAGGAAATCTCAGACCAGCCTTAATTACCGCCTCATAACAGCCAAAACAGGCGTCCCCGTAGCTGGACTACTCGGGCCAGACTACAGTGTCCTCGGCATCCGGCGTGCAAAGGACATACCCATGCTCCATGACATGGTCAGCTCTGAAGCTCCCAATTTTTTCTGCCATCATTTTTCGCCTGCCTACGGGAACATGATGATAGTAGGAGACATATTACTCTCAATTGGTGGCAAACGGTTCCGCCCAATTTTCTCCCAAGTCCACTTAGAGGGACTCTCGCGCAGTCTCTAGCCGAGAGTGCCTCTCTTCAGAATCATCCAAAAAATTGCTTGAAGTGCTTGGCTCAGAATCACTATCTGAGCTCTCGGATGAAGAGTCCGCCTGGCGGGCCAGATCAACAAAGGCTAGCATAACATTTTCAACCTCTTCCCTGATTCGTCTAAAATGGAATCACTAGGGGTGCTAGGGGCACCAGGCGGCACGTCAGACAATTCGCTGACAGGGGCATAAAAGGATGAGCCGTCTGAATTTGTCACCCTTGCTGTTCTCTTAGTTCTGGCCATGGTGTCTTGCACAGACACATAGAAAGTCGGACTTGGGGAAGTTCGCTAAGGGTGATCCAGCAAGGGGCAGTCAGCACTCCTAGTTTTATATTCAGCCGTCTCCGGTGACCGGCTCATCACTAACTTAGGCCGTGTCGTGTGCTTTTCGGAAACCATTTTCAAAAGAAGAACAAAGTACGAAAAAATAAAAAGAAACATGCGGTTACCTTTAGTCGGTGAAGATGAGGGCGCTTGAAAATCTACAGCGGTTGTAAGAGCAGGTGGTCTGGTGCAGT